TAAGAATTAGGCAGACAGCAGGGCAATGAGACAAACAACAGAATTTTGGGTGGCTGTCTGCAGCAATATACCAAACTTCTTGTTAACTTGGGAATATGCCAAATTCCATGGCTGCAAAATCATATAATCCCCCAGGGGCTCTGACTGCAAGGAATAGGGTACATCACACCTCACAGAGCTATTGTTTCAGGTTCTTTGCAGGTTCAATCAGGAAACATTGCATTAGTTTACATTCATTTGATGTTTTTGAAACTGTCTCTACAACCATGAGGATTAGAAATAAGTTCAAGATTTCACCCACAGTTTCTTAAAATGGAAGTTCAGATACTGTTCCATAATTTTGCGGAAAAGAGTGAATTCCTGAGCCATAGAATCACAGAATATCCAGGGCTTTGCATATAACATTATTGAATTAAAAAATACCCCTCCTTATCAAGGTGATCGGTCTTAAATTTGGCACATGCTTTCTGAGGTGTAGATTTAATTTTTAAGAAATTTGCCTCTCTGCACCAATTAAAAAACCTAGCCACCTTTTAAAAACTAGAGTTTCATGTCTTCAAGTCCCATTTAAGAGCCAAATTGCCTTAAATCCAAGATGCTGGATTCGCTGGAATTGTGAAAGTGGGCACACATTTTATCTGCTTCACTGCTCACTTACAGGAGCGATGGCAGGGAATAGAAAATGTTGATATCTTTGGACTCTGATCTCTGTAGAACACAGGATTCTTGTCAGTTTAATTTTTTTGCCTTCTCACAGAATAGAGCCAGGAGAATAACAGATCGATAGTATGGTATCTGTGATTCCAACAGAATTGTGTCCTGTATTTATATTTGGTTCTAATTTATCAGCTGGTTTCTTAAGTCTTGCAACCTTTGTTTTTAAGAACTGCTAATTACTTCTGTATTTGTGCATGTTTAAAAAGAGGAGAAACCTTTCTCTCTGTAAGTTTCTAGGAGTGGAAGACTAGATTCATGATGCTATTGACAAGTGTCCCTTGTCTAGGGCCACCAGTTAAATGTTATTTCATGGTGTCCTTTACAAACCTGTTTTTAAAGAGTTTGTAGTTTGTATATAAAAACTTGATCACTGTTGACGTTCCCCTGAAAGGACTCAACCTAGAAATGTTCTTTTTTAAAAAAAAAAAATCTGAATGTAAGTTCTGTGTGAACAGGGAATGAGAGATGTTTATTTGTTTAAAATGACTTTTTGCACTTCCTGTATCTTAAAACATCTTTGATTTAAAAGCTTAATTTTAGCAAATAATCAACATCACTTTGTTTTCATAAGATTTTTTGTTTCAAAAGGCCAACAAATTTAACTTTAAAAATGGCTAGTGCTAAACTGATTTTCATGACAATTTTATTACATATTTTCTAAGGCCTTGATCTTGGAATCTGATTGACAGCCAGACCCCTGAACCAACATGCAGCCCACTGGATTCTTTGGAACTCCAGGCTGGCTCAGGGGTCTGCCCACCTAGTTCATCTTCCAGACTCAGACCCTAGATAGGTATTTTCACAATAAGCCTAAGAAACCAGAACCATTAATGATTAAGATGTGTTAAAATATGTTTAAATATATATTTGTACCATATAACAGTAAAAATTTCTTGAATGTTAAAGAATAGCCTTAGGATTTTTTCAAGCCAATAATTAAAAATACTAAAAGTGACATGCAAATGAAAAAAATCCTAAATACTACACTTAGGCTGTAAGAAGACATAAGAGCACATTAATAATTTTTTTTATCTCCTTACCAGTGTTTACAGGTGTGTAAAGGAGCAGCCCCTTGTTTTGCTATTTTCATTTCCACACATAAGCCTAGATTTCGCAGTCAACTCTGCCTTGGTGCGACCCTCTTGCAGTCAGTAAGGCTTCTCTCTGAGGCTGGGTTCTACCTGTGGGAAGTCAATTGCATGATGGAGGCCCTACTGTGACTCACAAGGTGCTTTCCAGAGCTTGTCTACCGAGATAATGTAAGTCCTGTTTTTCCCCCCAGATTTGTTTTCTTTTATGTGCCAAAGAGTATTGTTTAGGGTAGTTTTAACTTTGTGGTAAAATATGACTTTGAGGGTAATCTCATTTATACATACCTTTCTAATTATGTTTTGTTTGCAGTGCTTCAGGCAAATTATATATTACTTTTCTCAAAACATGAAAAAATCACTAAGATTTTTGTGACTATTAAGTCAGAAGATCAGAACATTTTACTCTAAGCAGGCTGAAATTGTTGATTTTTCCAGTAGTTTGTAATATGTCAGTATTTAGGGACTATGGGTAAAAATGAGAATTTGGAAATTTGAGTTATGTATTCAAGAAAATCTCATTTAGCTTATTGTTAGAAAATAGCTCTAGGACATCTACCAGGGATTTCATTATTTTCTGGATAATTTACCATCTAAATGTGGGATATAGAAGTATTGCTTCTAAATATAAAAATGTGAATTTGTTTCTCTTCTCACAAATACTGAATCTGTTTCTTTTTCTAGACATACTCCGTCTCTCAGTCTTTCTGAAATATAGAAAATAATTCTGAGAAAAACTGATTACCCTAGTAGCTATGGTACCAAAATTTACTAATGTAATTGTTTTCTCTTTGGTTTGCATACAGGAATTTTAATAAATGTGCACTTGCACTACATATCTTTGTGAAACTTGGTTAAAGTAAACAAAACTAATCTGGAATTCTGAGTGAACTCCATCAGGTATGCTGATTAAACTGTAAGCTACTTGAAGCAGGTACTGTATTTTTTATGATGCCTATCATCCACTTAGTGCTTAATAAATAATAATATTACAATGTCATATGCCACTGTATTCACATAAGAGTCATTGCAAATATCTATATCTGAATTGCGGAGGAAGTGCTCTCCCCGTAATTGTGGGTACAATCATTACCAAGACTCCTGCTTTTATGCTTAAAAGAGCAGACACTCTGTGTGAGTGTTCTTGTGTAACTGATTATATTGTAATACTGGCACCTATGGTGAAATTCTTTATTTCTTTGCTGCTACTCAACAGCCAGCAGAATGTATTGAAAGAAGTTCCATTCAATCAGAGAAGAGCGAGAAAGTGATAAGAGTATTGGAATAAGAAATGTAATGGTGTATACTGTCCCTTTAAACTTAGAGGAAGGCCAGAAAACCCTATTCCAGGAACACTGGGATAAACAAAGTCTCAGGAAATGGTAGAAGCTGGAAGACAGAAAGTGGTTCTGGGGAATTAGTAGTTGGATGACGGTGAGAAACCCAGGACACTGTCTCTTCAAGGGCGCAAGAGCTGGTGCTCTATATTGTAGAATGGGCCAGGGTCCCCTCTTTCCGACCAATGTGAGGAGCTCTGTGCAGGAGAGTATTATATGTGCAGCTTTCCCCCTCGGAACAGGGGAAATTCTGATAAGAGAAGAAAGTCAAATCTAGAAGTCTGAGCTTCTACTGGGGAGGGCTAGGAGTGGCAGCTTTTTGAAGATCAGACTGGGGAAGAGAAAAGAGCTTTGTGTGTGGTAGAAGAGCCTGAGCTAAATGTGAACTTTTGGGTTGTAATGGATTTTATTTTGAGGACTTTGGTGGTTGTTTTAAGCTGTTTATATTATTTAACCAATTCCAAATAGGAGGGTGGTAGAAGCATGAGAGAGATTGTGCAAGTCTTAAGGGGCCCTGAAGAGAGACGTTAGGCCATAGCAGAGACTCTGCTGGCCACAAAGGGGTGATCAGGAATTGGCTGCCTTGTACAAGCACATTCTATATTATTTGTGAATGATGGTAGAGAAGGGGTAGGGTGAGAAGGTCTAAAGAAAGCATATGTGAGAGTAGGACTAGTTCCCCCTTTTCCCCTTCTGGGCAAAGAGCAGAGAAGCAGGAATAGGTATGTGACAGGAGTATTGGAGAAGGGAAAGTTGAAGAAAGAGACAGGGAAAAATGAAGAAATCAAGAGATCCAGAGGAAAATAAAAGTGGAAATACTAGTACAGTAAAAACAACAGATGGTACAGTCTATGAGAGAGGATAAATTAGCTCCTAGTTACTAGTCACTCCTACTACATTACAGGGCAACCATAGTCACATGTTGCAGTTGGACACTGATGTGCAGTACTGTTGGGTGCTCTTCAAGATGGAAGACTCAATTGTTACTAGAAGGATACACAGAATTACACATTCCACACCTCTGTGGGCAGTGCTATGTTAGATACACAAAGAATAGTCATATTCAGGGTTTGAAAAATCATCTTGCCTTGGGCAAATGGCAGGCTTACTTGGGCAAATGAAGCATCTATATCATTAATTTCTGCAAAATCAAAATTTTCATTTAAAAATAAGTTTATAGCCCTTATTGTTACAAAGATAACCTTTACAGCATGAACCAAATATCAACTGTAGTGTCACCTTTTTGAATCGGCAGACATTTTTAGGGCCTCTGATTCTGCTTGTGGTTTTGTCAAACAGCAGCAGTATTCGTGCAAGTCTGATTAGTTTCAGATTCCTATTCAGAAACCAGTAGGCAATGGTTACACTGCCAGAAATGTCAGTTTGCTGCTGGTGTCTTGGAACATTGTGAGCAGCAGGAGAAGTAGACACTTAAGTTATTTACAGGGGAAGAGAACTGGAAAACGGAGGCTGGGAATGAGGAGAGTAGCAGAGATCTCTTCCTTCAATCTTTTACAGTAACCAGATGACTTGTGGAGGGATAGAGTAGTGGAGACTTAAATACCCTTGTGGCAGCCAGAATATTCTAGCGGGTGAGAGAGGAAATAAAATAGATAGAATGTTCTTTATCTTTTTAAGAATTTATATAGGGGTGGACCTTTACATATATAAGATGACTGCTAACTAGCCCAGGAACAGTATTCTAATAGAAATCTCAGCACCCTATTCTTTTTATTCACTTATAGCAGAGGGCTAGCATTCTTACCATAGCATTGCTCCCAAACCTCAGGTGTGAAGTCCCCACACTCTTATCTTTCATATCTACCTCTTGACTAGTAGATTTAGTATTCTGATCATCTGCTAAGTTTTTATAGCTCTGATCACCTTTGAGTCAAGAGATAAAAGATCTCACCTGCACTAGCTGAAAATAGTTATCAGGCTTGTTCATGTTGCCACACAATAGATTTAAATATATGATATATTTTAATACTTTTAATTTTGTCAATATTAACATACATAAATTGTCTATACAAGTATTAACAAACGTTAGTAACCGGTAACTGTTATCTTTAAAAGACCAATTTGTGTTTGGTCAACCTCTTATCCTATATATTTTGTTCAAATTCCACAAATGGTAAGCATGCATTAAAAACTATTTGATTCTGATATAAGGCTGTCAGTAATAAAGCTGGGATAAGAAGGAAGGTCCTTTCATGGATTGATAACTGGTTAAAAGACAGGAAACAAAGTGTATGAATGAATGATAAGTTTTCAGAGTGGAGAGAGGTAACCTCCAGGGTCTGTCCTGAGATCAGTCCTATTCAACTTATTTATAAATGATCTAGAGAAAGGGGTAAACAGGTGGCAAAGTTTGCAGATGATACCAAACTGCTCAAGGGTATGTCTACACTACCACCCTAGTTCGAACTAGGGTGGTAATGTACTTAGATTTCCAGAAAGCCTTTGACAAAGTCCCTCACCAAAGGCTTTTAAGTAAAGTAAGTTGTCCCGGGATAAGAGGGAAGGTCCTTTCATGGGCTGATAATTGGTTAAAAGACAGGAAACAAAGGGTAGGAATAAATGGTAAGTTTTCAGACTGGAGAGAGGTGACTAGTGGTGTACTCCAAGGGTCTATACTGAGACTAATACTATTTAATCTATTTATAAATGATCTGGAGAAAGGGGTAAACAGTGAGGTGGCAAAATTTGCAGATGATACTAAACTGTTAAGATAGCTAAGACCAAAGCAGACTGTGGAGAGCTTCAAAAAGATCTCACCAAACTAAGTGAGGGGGCAACAAAATAGCAAATGAAATTTAAACATGGTTTCTGTAAAGGGAAATCATGCCTTATTGGCCTGTTAGAGTTCTTCGAGGGGGTCAACAAACATGTGGACAAGGGGAATCCAGTGTACTTAGATTTCCAGAAAGCCTTTGACAAGGTCCCTCACCAAAGACTCTTAAGTAAAGTTAATTGTCGTGGGTTAAGAGGGAAGGTCCTCTCATGGATTGATAACTGGGTAAGAGACAGGAAATGAAGGGTAGGAATAAACAAGTTTTCTGAATGGAGAAAGGTAACTAGTGGTGTTGCCCAATGGTCCGTACTGGAACCCATCCTATTCAACTTACTTATAAATGATCTGGAGAAAGGGGTAAACAGTGAGTCGGAAAAATTTGCAGATGATACTAAACTGCTCAAGATAATTAAGACCAAAACAGACTGTGAAGAGCTTCAAAAAGATCTCACCAAATTAAGCAATTGGAAAACAAAATGGCTAATTAAATTCAATGTTGATAAATGTAAAGTAATGCATAGATAAAAATAACCCCAACTATACATACAATATGATGGGGACCAATTTTGCTTTAACTACTAAAAAGAGACATCTTGGAGTCATTGTGGATAGTTCTCAATGTACAGTGGCAGTCAAAAAAAAGTAAACAGAATGTTAGGAAAAAAGGGATAGAGAATAAGACTGAATATCTTACTACCTCTGTACAAAACCATAATATGCCCACATCTTGAATATTGCGTACAGATGTGGTCTCCTCATCTCAAATAAGATAGCATTGGAAAAGGTTCAGAAAAGGGCAACAAAAATTATTAGGGGTTTGGAACGGATTCCATATGAAGAGAGATTAAAAAGACGTGGACTTTTCAGCTTAGAAAAGAGGAAATTAAGGGGGATATGATAGAGGTATGGAATCATGACTGGTATGGAAAAAGTGAATAAGGAAAAGTTATTTACTTGTTCCCATAAGAGAAGAACTAGAGGTCACCAAATGAAATTAATAGGCAGTAGGTTTTAAACAAAGAAAAGGAAGTTTTTCTTCTCTTAGCTCATAGTCAACCTGTGGAACTCCTTGCCAGAAGAGGTTATGAAGAACAGGTCTTTAACAGGGTTCAAAAAAGAGCTAGATAGATTCATGGAGATTAGGTCTATCAATGGCTATTAGGAATGGTGTCCCTAGCCTCTGTTTGTCTAGAAATTGATGACAGGAGAGGGATCACGTGATGATTACCTGTTGTGTCCCTCCCTCCCAGTGGCATCTGGTATTGGCCACTGTTGGGCTAGATGGACCTTTGGTCTGACCCTTATGTTAGGTTGTTCTTACGTTATTATGATAATTTTTTCTGTAGAAAGGATTTCCCATACTTTATTTTTACATGCCAATTAATGTTGGGAAATTTATCATTTCCAAAACAAGGTATCACACATTTATGTGCTAATAGTAATTTATTTATGTTATCAAGTAGATTATGGATTGATTAATATTTTATTGCTGTCATTATAAGTGGTATTAATTGTTTTTTATCTTTACAAAAATCTGTTTTCTTGGAAATTTAGATTAGAGTCTAGCACATTATACAAGGTTTAAACAAATTCTTGAAAACAAAGTTTGATAAAATAACAATGGCAATTTTTTAAAAGGTTAAAAAAAATGGGAAATTAGCACATTCCTTTTCTCTCTAAACATTCTTGTTTTATATCTTATTTGTATATTTTATACGTCAGGTGAAAATGAACATTTGTACTTGTTTTCATATTAAAATATATTGTTTTCATGTTGAAAAATCTGTTATTAGCTGCTCTTTTACAGTTTTCCAAGCAGTGCTCTTAATATTTTTCTTCAGCTTTTCCCATATAACTTTTTTCCCTTTCTCTCTCAGGCTATGTCTACACAGAAGCGTTATTTTGGAATAACTGACATTATTCCATAATAACATAGGCCGTATCTACATTACAAGCAGTAATTTTGACATACTGTTGAAATAATGATGAGCTGGAGGACTTCTTACTCCAACTCATGTAACCCTCATTTTACGAGGAGTAAGGGAAGTTGGAGGAAGAGTGCTCTTTCTCAGATTTCCTGTTGCGTAGATAGCGCCAAAAGCTGAAATAAGCTATTTCAACTTAAGTTACGCAATTGATGTAGCTCACGTTGCATAGTTTATTTCACCTTTAGCCCTGCTGTGTAGACATGCCCCTACAGTGTAAGTTTTCTCATTCCTATATCAGAAGCAGCAGTGTGGGGCAGCAGGCGGCTCCCCTGTCTCCCACCTGCCACCCTGCTCCCAAGGAGCCATCTGCCACCCCACGCTGCTGCCTTTGATACATTATATAATTGTTTAAAGTCAATACTTTGTATAATCATGTCAGCTTTGCACCATACATTAATATTATTTATAAAATGGCAGTTACTTTGTCACTTTTTAAAAGCTCTTTTAAAGCTGAATTTTGTGATCATAAAGTTTAAAGTTTTTGTTGTGTATGTTTTGTAAGAGAAAAAGGTATACCATATAAATATGTTCAAGCTTTTTTCTTAACTCTTAGCTATTTTATTTAATATAAAATGAGTTTTTATTGTGTAATGAGCTGCTTATAAAATATTTAAAGACATAAATCATTTAGGATTAACTACTGTAGATTCAAAAAGTGGCTAATGAAGTATAAAAGTGGACTTGTATTTTACTGTACAAATACTGTATTATAAAAATAAAGTATCAGAAATGCTACTATAGGGTGAGTCCTACAAAGGTCACTGTATATATTACTCTGTAGGCAGATCCTTTTATAGGACTGGGATTCTATCCTACTTTTTAAGATTATTATAGTTTAAAGCATTGTTTTCATTTTCATTACTGAACCTTATTTTCAAAGCATTACAATTTTTTAATATACATTTGTCTAAAAATCAGAGAATATTAACATTAAAAATAATAATATAGTTGCCTTGAGTAATGTGTGTAAAAAAAGAGGACTTTGATGCTTCATTTTCACAACAAAATACAGTCTGATCATAAGTCTTATCTAGACTATACATACCCAAATATAACTGTAGAAGAGTATAATTAGAGTTAAATTACCTTTCAATACAGGAAAAACAACTGTGTACAAATTTCATTCATGAACTGTAATAAAAATGAAAAAAAGGGAAAATTAAAATGATAAAATACTAAAATAGTAAAAATAACTTAATCTGTGACCTTTGTAGTTTATATGTTTGGTTCAGTTACAAATAGAAATGATTATTTCACATGGATTTGATGTTAAGTAACAGATTAAATAGTCAGGGTAAACTACATATTCTTTTTAATTGAGGCAACAAAAAATATCTTTCTGCGGAAACTGCAAATAGGATAGATAACATTATTTTTACTTATAGCAAGAGTGCTTAAACTTGTTTATTTTTAACCCTAGAAATGCAGGCCCAGATATTTTTCATTTGATTTCATCCAGAAGATGAAAGATATGCTGTTTAGGAATCTTGTTTTAACTGACCATTTCAGAGTTTTTCTGGTGTAGCCCAAGAACCTTCAGGTGATGTAAAATGTAGTATTTAATTCCTATGCTAATTACCTCCAACACAAACTGACATAGGAGTGCAACAGGGGCGGCCCTAGATTAGCTGCCAGCAACTGGTGTCCTAGGTGAACTATGCAATCAGCGCCCCCACCTCCAAACCCCTCAATGATACTGCGCCTCCATTTGGCGCCCCGTTTAACTTGGCACTCTAGGCGACCGCCTAGTTCACCTATATGGACGGGCCACCCTCGGGGTGCAAGTTGGTGGGGTAGAGCACATCATTATGCCACCGGATGCACCATAAGAAACAAGAAGGTGTAATTTGCTATTGGACAGTCTACTTCCCCAGCACTGAGCAAATTCAGTGGAGAGGAGACTCTCAGCAGCAATCTGTAAAGATATCTGACCTTCTTCTTGTGGTGTATTGAAGGACTTAACCCTCAGAATACTGGTATGTATGTTTTCCCCTAGCTAATCGTTCAAACCATATGAGAAATGAAACTAGAGCAGATGTGAATTATAGTGATTCTCATTCTCAGAACTTGCATATGACTTATAAATAGTGCATGTGTTTTATTCTTCTTGTTGCATTAGAAAGTTACACACACTTGCTCTTTTTTTCCCTGTTTTATAGGGCTGTAATTCTTAAGATTATGTAAAGTCTTCAGTGTAAATCCATTGTCCGGGCAGTACAATAGGTAGGTTTTGAATTTATTTTTTAAAGTACGTTGAAACTGACAGGATTGTCTTGTTTAATTTGATATATGAAGCAATCTTATTGCACTTACTTTTGTCTCATGAAGTATCATTGTGTGTGTGTGATTCAATGTGTAACACACCAATCTGCCTTTAGGGATGGGACAAAGTTCTTCTGTCGACTTGGGGGCTTAGATCACTTGAATTATTTTTTTACATCCTTGAGTAATGTAGCTAGGTTGACCTAAGTTTTAGGTATAGACCAGGCCTCTCAGAGATTGTGCCTCACAGATTTCCTTGGCTGACTTGTGGTAGCTCTGCTAGTACCACAGAGTACCAGTCAGTACTAGATGGTGGGACTGTTGCCTTGCATCCTTCCTTTGGGTGTTTTATTCTGCAAGAGGTGCTAGTATCTTCAATCCCCTTTGCACCAAGTGCAATGTCTGCTTTTGTGTCTGGTCCTTGTACTATTGCTCTCCACTCCACGTCCCCCACACCGGATATATACACAATCTGGCCCTTTCAAAACCTCAGAGGAAAAAAATCGCTGAGTTTCATTACATTTCATTTACGAGTATCCAACATATTTAATTCAAAAATTCTCAGGGAGCATATTTGTTCATGTATTTTCTACAATATTTTATCTATTGTATTTAATAACAATTGATGAACTCTTTGTGTAGGGCTCTTATAAATCTCTGATACCATGGTGATGGGGCACATTCAAAACACCAAGAATGATAAATTTAAAAAGAGGAGAGCATGTTTTCATAGATTTATACTTTCCAAGGCCAGAAGGAACTATTGTGATTATCTAATCTGATTTCTGTGTAACACAGGCTATAAAGCTTCCCCCAAATAATTCATAGAACATATATTTTAGAAAAACATCCAAACTTGATGGGAAAAAATGGTCTGTAATGGAGAATCTGTCACAATTCTTGGTAAATTGTTTCAATGTTTAATTACCCTCAGGGTTAAAATATTATGCTTTACTTTCTCTTTGCATTTGTCTAGCTTCAACTTCTGGTCATTGGATCATATTATACCTTTCTCTAATACACTGAGGAGCCCATTATCAAATATTTGTTCCCTTTGTAGGTTCTTACAGATTGTAATGAAGTCAACCCTTAATCGTCTTTGATTAAGCTAAATAGATTATGCTCCTTGAGTCTATCACTATAAGGCCTGTTTTCTAATCTTTTAATAAATCTCATGCCTTTTCTCTGAACCCTCTCCAACTTATCAACATCCTTCTTGAATTGAGGAAACCAGAACTACATATACTAATCCAGCAGTGTTCCCACCAGTGCCAAATGCAGATATAAAATAACCTCTCTTTTAATATTACAGAATAAAGAAACCCAACAACAGTAATAGATTTGTCTTATTGTAAATATACTTAATATCATGCAGCAAATAATTCATAATTTCAGTTCTGAATTTCGTATTTTCATAGTTTCTTACTAGTTACTGCCTATCTACTGACTAGTGTAGTGCTACCTGGAAGAAGGGTTATACTAGCATAAACTTGTTTTGGTTTACTGAACACTTTTTTGCCCCTCAGCATAATAAACACAAATAATGTACTTTGAAGCACGGGTGGGCAGTAATTTTTGATAGAGGGTGCCACTCTAAGAATTTGATAAGTGGTAAAGGACTGCACTTTTCTATTATATTAATGGGGGAGGCATGAGGTCTGGGATTGAGGCTGGGTGCAGAAAGGAGTTATGGGTAGGGGATTGGGATCTGGGAGGGAGTTTGGGTGAAGGCGTGGATTCTGAGCTGGTGGAAAGGTGTAAGAAGGGCTGCAGGATTTAGGAGGGAGTTGTGACCATGGGCAGGGATGAAGAGGGTTTGGGTTGTGACCTGAAGCAGCAGGTGGGGTGCCAGGTGTGGACTCTGATCAGAAAGTGTTTACCCTAGGTAAACAGCCAGAAACCCAGTGGGACCCCCCAGGCAAACTCCTTGCCTGCCATCAGGGCCAGCTTTAGGAAGTGCAGGGCCCAATTCGAACCACTTTGGCAGGGCCCCCCTATCTCCTCAACCAGGATTTTTTGTTGAGCCAAAAAAAAAAAAAAAAAAACCATGCACCCACATAACAAACCACAACCACACACAAATATCACATCAGAAGTAGATCTGATCAAAATGTAGTAGAACATTTTCAAAAAAAAAAACCAAGCCATCCTTTATTATGCAAAATTTTACACAAAATTAAATCAGTTGCCTTAAGTGTAGGTCAAATATTTTCAATTGCAAACTATCCAATTTTTTCAATAAAGTTTAAAGTTTGATTTTTAAAAAGTTACCAGAGAGCGCTGCAGTTGTCTGTTACATTGATTTACTGTTTAAATAGCAAAAATTGAGTCTTTGTTAAGAAAGTGTCAGTTCTGTGGTCAAATTCCAGGCCTTAGTGATTTCAGCACCAATGACTTCACTAGGTAATATGGTACCTCACCACCATTGCCTCCTTTGCACTGCTCTTCAACACATATTGCCTGCATGTTGAGTCCAAGGTCAGTCTACACAAGATTTTATCAATGATTTTTGCTCAAGCGA